AGTTTTTGGGGGATAGGAGACTCGATATTTCTCCTAAGAAGACTCAGCTCATGATCTTTTCGAAAAAACGGTTATGTACCTTTAAGAACCTTAGTATTACAGTTCATGATACGACTATTACTCCTTCATCTTGTGTTAGATTCCTCGGAGTCAACCTTGACCCCAAGCTATCCGGTACAAAACATATGGATTTTATTATCGCAAAAGGAAAGTATCAATTCAGTCATCTCTGCGCTTCGGGATACGTGGTGGGGAGCCGACCCCAACCTCCTCTTAAACATCTACAAATCTATGGTATGTGCCTCCTTTGAGTACGCTTCGCTTTTAAGCTCTTAAGGATAACACATTTGCTGATAAACTACAGCGCATTCAAAATCAGGCGATTCGATCTGCTTGCGGTTATCGCAACTCCACTCCAATTAATGTTATGCATGCGGAGACCAAAGAACCGCTCCTCAAGCAAAGATTTGAATTTCTGTCAGCCAAATATTTTCTCAAGATCATCTCGGTGCAGGACCATCCGGTGGCTCTCAAACTTCTTGAACTGTGTGATATGACGCGAAATCCTGCCAATAGCAATTATCTTAGTGCCCACTTTCCTGCCGCTCTCGTATTTATACGATGTGGTCTCATAAGAACACTCTATACGAGTATGTATATTTCACCCTCCCTCCCCACCTTTCATAACTCCTTCACCTCTACTGTCACGAATATATCCTATCTCACTCTTCCTCCTCCCATCCTTAAAAATCTTGATGCCTTCACTCTACACCAATTACAAGTCGCTTTTGAAGAATCCTTCAGCACTTAACTCAAGGAGATGCGACAGTTTTTTATACTGATGGATCGAAAATGGATGACAGTACCTACGCTGGCTCGGCGGTTTATTCCCCACAACTAAACTTGCAATTTATGAGCAAACTCTCATCGTACGCAACGATTTTTACCGCTGAAGCTTGAGCCATTTATAATGCTCTTCTCTTTGCCTTACATAATGGAATTACAAACACTGTTATTGTTACTGACTCCAAGAGTATTCTTGATACTCTTTTTGGATTCCGCAATCAAACTAACAGTTATATTATATAATCGCATACACTAGAGCCCTCGTCGAAGAGGCGAAGTTTAACAATATACATATATCATTCATATGGATTCCCTCACATCGTGGCATTGAAGGGAATGAGAGAGCTGATTTGCTCGCTAGGAGAGCTGTTCGAGAGGGTGCTAACTCGGATTTTAGGATTCCATACTCGGATTTATTTGTCATACCAAAGAAGCATCTGGATAGTACATTTGAAGTTTATATTGAACG